TCTCCTTAATTTAGTACATTCAATGTAGTACAGTCATGTTGTCAAATGTATTTGGTTTAGAGAGGATTATGAGTTGATTTTCTGTTATGTTGTTTCATGAATAGTTATAAAAAATATACTCACTTTACATACTCTCTCTCAATGTGAAGTCATATAAATGAGTTAAATATGCTAAGTAAAGAAATTTTTTTAAGTGTCATTACTCTACCAATATAAATACCGACTTAAAGCCTGTTTAGAACTAGGTTGAAATATCTGTTGAGTGTTTAGAACATAGTAAATAAATAAATAAATTCTATATATCCACATATCAATATGCTCTTAAGTGTTAGATATGGATTTTTTTTAGATGCACAATTTATTCAATAAATTTTCTTTAAGTGATAGTTTATGTCAGAAATTTAATAATAAAATTTATTAAGATAAGTTGAAAATAACTTATTTTCTACACTAAAAAAATTATCAAAATAAGTTTAAAACAGTTTTTGAGGATCATAAACTATTTTCTATGTTTCCTTTCAAACAAGTCCAGTATCTACTACTTTCTTCAGTTGATCTCGCTAGTTAAGATAAAGGATTTTTACCCAGAGGTTGCTTAGAAGGATGGTTTTGAAGAAAAATAAAGAAAAGGAGAAAATTTTAATTTTAAAATAAAAAAAATTATATGTTATTTATAATAATAATAAATTATTACTACACTAAATTTATCTTAATTCATTATTTTATATTTTGAATTTAAAAAATCATAAAATTTAAATATATTTATTCATTCAATTTCTGTCTCTTATACCTTCCTTCCCAAATAATCGGTGGCGCACACGTCTACTACTGAATAATTTGGTATGTTATCGAGACATGTTAAAGACAAGGGGATTCATACCTTGCCATTGTTGGATGTGCTAAACAAACACAGTACTATTCCTTTAGTATAAAGGGAGAAAAGCAATGCTAAAAAGAAGTAGTTTGCAACAATAACAACAATATTAAACTACAAAATAATAAATAATAGCAGTAAAAGTTAATTTATTTCACCACTGGTATAGTTGATCACATGAATAAATCAAATTTTAGAGTATTTAATTCATTTCTTAATAATACACTTTGAATAAAATTCTTTAATGAAATAAAATGAGTAATTAATGTGATAAAAAAATGTAAAGAAAGAAAATTAAATACATATGCTTAAAAGGTGACACACCCTACTGAAACTGGTTGATGAGATGCTTCTTTCACACATGCCTCGTACAGAAAAGAGCACCACAATTTCCATGAAAGAAATTTTATACCTCTTGAAAAGGAAAGAATGGAACAAGAATTTGCGTAATCCCAAGTAGCGTCTCTTTTCTGTTTATTATTAAGCCATGTGAATGGGATCTATAACGTAACTTGTGTTCCCAACCTTATGTTAATATTTTATGCATTTTTGCATGTCATAAAGTCATACCCCTCATTGATGGTTATCTACTTACCTTGTGGGACGAAACAACACTATTCCACTTTCCGGTAAATATAGAAGAAAAAACTTGATAGATAAGCTTCTAGCATGTTTTGGCTTTCAAATTTAAGCAATTGAATGGGGAATGACGTGTTGTAATAATCACCAATATCAGCTCTTATTATAATTTGGCACTACTTGATAATAGTGATCAGAGCCATAATTAAAGCCAATTTTTAAATAAGGACCGTAAGCAATCAGGTTATGGCCACGCATAGCATTACTGGGAAGGCACTTTGATTGATTAGTCATATAGAATTATAATAATATTGAAATGGAAAGGGTGCTTAATTGGTGGCCCAATCTTGCTTATTTTCATGCAAGAGGACTATTGAGTGTACGGATAACATGTTAATAAATTAACATATATTGAACACGAGAAGAATGTTTAGAGAAAGCAATAGCTTGTATTAAATTTCAGCCCAATGCACCAAACTCTTTAAACATGTCTTTCTACCGTTTTGACTTTAATTAGTACCAACCTTTTGTTTGTCTATTTCATCTGTGTGGAAAACATGCTTGGTTATGTCTTGACATATATGTCTTTTTATTCCTTTACTTGTGGGGATTACTTAATGTTGAAATTTTATATTTCCTAAGTGCATTTGGCATTGTAAAGAAATAACCATTCAATTATATCCAAGCACTGGCATATTCTATAAATTTTATCTACGAACTGCGTTTATTATTGAATAAGAACAAGTTATATTCATATACACATAATCAATAAAGTCGAAGCCATAATTCGCTGCTTTCAAGATAAAATACAACAAATTAATATTAAAAAAAATAACTCATACGTGATTAATGATTGCTTACTCTTAATATAGAGATAATATTAAATGACACCATGCACAAACTTTAATAAATTATATTTTAATAATTTTATAAAGTTTTGTCAAAATTATTAAAATATTATCTTATTAATTTTGATTCACAATGTCATTTGATATATTTCATTTATATATAGGACATTCGATTTTGAAGTACATTTACATTTCGGTTCCATTCAAGAGTCTTAAGTTCTATGTTAACCCGTGCGTGTCTTGAATTAATGCAATTCTTCGCAGTTATATTATATAATTACCAATGAAAATAATAATCAAACCTTCTTTATTTGTAAATTATTAATATATTCTGATTGTGTTATGTAATTTTATGTATAAAAATATAATTTAATTTATATATTCTAATTGCGTAAAGATTTTTTACACTCTTACCAAATCTTGAATTGTTATATTAACAATAGTTGTTAGTTTGTATAATATTTAGTATAAATTTATATCTATAATATGTTTTAATTAGTTAATAGTATAAAATTTTAACATTCTTAATTTATTAAAATTAAACTCATAAAAATAATACTTTCATTACTTCACATATATACATATAATCTAAGCATTGTCACATTGAAAAATAATGATAAAAATAATTATTTAAAGAGAGAAAAAACATAATAAAATGTATTATTGTTAAATAATGAAAACAATCTTTGAGACATAAAAAATAAAGAAATAAAAATAATATATGAAAAAAAATTATAACAATACAAGTTATTTCTAAGTGATCTATTAATTTTATATGATATATAAAAATTAAAAATTTAAATTGAGATTGATTAAAATAAAATAAGAGTTTGGTTTCAATAAATAGAGTCTCGCCTACAATTTATAAAATAATGAAGACTGTCTTAATTCACTTGACTAATGTTTTGCCTTAAAATTAATTTTAAATATCAATGTAACATTTTAAAAATAATATTTGACAAATATTAAAACTATAGAAATCTAACAATATTGTGGATTGCAAATTGATATTATTCAAAGTATCATAAATAATGCTTAAAAAAAGTATCAATAAATAAAAGATTATAAAATTTTATGAAATGTATGCACATTAAATTAATAAGTCCTTTTGACTTGTAAACATTTTTTCTCTAAATCTCGAATTATCGTTCTTGACCCAAGTAAATTCATAAACAGAACTCATTAAATTTTATAGTTTTACCCAAAAATTTACTAATAAAAAAATTCATCTTTGACTAACGATTTAAAAATTCCCAATTTTTTTTCTCCTTTTAAATTTAACATCACACTCCTCGTAAAATTGTTTTGTTCTAAACCGTTTAAAGAGTTTTCTACTTAAACCTATCTTAAAATTTTAATTGTTTGAGCTAAAAAAAAAGGATTTTAGGTAAAAAAAATTCAAAAGATATTGATTATAATAAAAAGTTGAAAGACTAAATTCAAATGTATATGTTCGTTGATGAATTTCAAACACAAAATTTGAATTTCAAAATCAATTTGAAAATATGCAAAACTCGATAGGATCAAGGTCGAACATTGATTGCAGTATGACAAAAAATCCATTGAAAATAAAGTGTCATTATGTGTTTCCAAAAACTTATATCACGAAATTAATATTTCAAAAATTCCAATTATTACTTTTTAAAAAATTTTGTAACTAGATCAATTTTTTTATTACTTTAATTTTCTATAAGAATTCATTTGAAAAAAAATTAATTTTTTACTAAATTTAATTTTTGATCATATCCTTTCAAAGGATTAATATAATAATATTTTAAATTTTTAAACTATTTATATTATAAAAAAATTGAAAGACTTATCCAGTGACAAAATTTGTGAAAGTCTATTTTAAAATATACTTTTTTATTTTTATCAATACAAAATTTTTATTTTAAAATATTCAATACACGCAATATAATACAATAAAATATAGTTTTAATGAATTAACTTATTTAATTTATATAAAATAATAAATTTATACAAACAAAAAAAATGAAATTACTTATATAAAATTTTAATTTTAAAAAATATATTAATTTTTTTTACATTAAGCAGATTATAATATTAAAAAATAAGCAATCTAAACATGTTATCAGCATAAATGAGACTTATTTAAAAAGAAAGAAAAGAATATTTCGAATAGAAAATGGACGTAAAAAATAAAATATTAGCAGTTAATAAGATTATTCAATTTTGTTGGCAATTTATTTTGAAGATATCCTTCTTCAGGGAGGTTACAATTACTTGACGAATACGCAATGTCAACCAAATCAACTCCTTCCAGAGAAAGGAGTCAATGGTATTTAAAATCCACACACAGAGAGATGTTTTTATCAAATAAAAGAATTTAAGATTTATTTTTGTTTTGGTTCTTCCACAAATATTTATCACTATATCTACAAATCCGTAGAAAAATCCCGAAAAATAGAAATTAATTCAAATAATAATTGGTCGTATTAAATAATGGATGCGTGGTAATTTAAACTTGGATTAGAAGGAAGAAAGAGATAGGGTTATTCTCGTCATTTCAGTTACAGAAGTGTGGCGAACCCAAGCCATAACTGGTTTTACATTTGTAGCCTTCATACTGATTCGAAGCTTCTAGGGAATATCGTGCCATCCAAAGGGTAGGATGGTATTTTGATAACGCACGCCAACTACCGCATTTTATAAATACTCCCGCGAATTACTTTGAGGCGAAAGAAAATAAGTAAAACGCAGACGCGCAATTCTGTTCGTTAGAGTTCTGAGGGAAAACAGAGAAAACCCTAATTCGAACGCTTTTGGAATCCCTAATTAGGAGCCCTAGTATTTGCTTCTACTGTTTTTGGAAGAGTCGAGCTAAACGCGGCGTTTTTGCGATGATCGTGAGCCAGAATTTGGTGACCGAAGCGGAAATCCTTTGTCAGCAGAGCATTCCCATGTTGGACGTTAAGTACCACCTTTGCGTCGCGCACGAACACGGTGTTAAGGTTGAGGTTTCACCTACCTCCAACGGTGTTCCCATCTTTGGCCATGTGCGAGTTCCATCTGAATCGGTTTCCGCTGAAACGACTCGTTTTGAATCGGTGAGTCCCGTTTCCTCGTTTTTTGTGTTTCTGTTTGAATCGAGTCTTTTTTATTAATTGGGCTGTATTTTTTTTTTGTTCGGTGAACGAGTTGGTAATTGGTGTTTCGGTTCGAATCGGTGTGTTTTCTTTTCTTTTTTGGGGATGATTTGGATATCAATCGGATGGATTTATTTGCTTTGGTTAATTCTCAGATATCTATCGGGTTTTGATTTCTTTCTTATTGTGTTTGTTAGATTTGGGAAGATCGAAATTTTCTTTGGTGTATTTGTGGGATTTCAGAATCTGTATTTTACTTCTAGGGTTTTTAATTGGCTGTTTCTATAATATGTTACGCTGTTTAAACGTTTTCCTCAGGGGAAATCGGTTGATGTAGCGGGCGTTGATGTTTAGTATGTTTCAGATTTCAATTGGTTATAGGCCTTCTTAGTGAAAGGGACTTGGTGATCAAACTTCTGTTTTGTCTGTTTGCGACTTTGTGTTGTTGTTTTAGGTGATTTTTTCTGAGTGGATTGTTTATGTGTTAATTGATGTTTTTTATGTATGATATAGGTTGTGAGTTGTTCTGAGATGATTGAAGATTCTATTTTAGAGACTCCTGCTGCCAAGTTTACACCGAATGTTCGATCTGGTTGCTGTGCTGATATTGGAGCCAGGAAATCAATGGATGATGAACACATTCAAATAGATGATCTGGCTGCCCACCTTGGATTTGTTTTTGAGCGCCCTATACCGAGTGCATTTTATGCCGTTTTTGATGGTCATGGAGGTCCTAATGCAGCTGCTTTCCTTAAGAATAATGCTATGACATTATTTTTTGAAGATGCTGATATGCTGCAATCATATGATGCTGATGCACTTTTTCTGAAGAGGTTGGAAGATTGTCATCGAAGAGCTTTTTTAGATGCAGACCTTGCCTTGGCTGTTGAACAAAGTGTTCCCGGTTATTGTGGGACAACAGCATTGACTGCCCTTATACTTGGAAGGCATTTGCTGGTTGCTAATGCAGGTGACTGTCGAGCTGTTCTTTGTAGGCGAGGAGTGGCTGTTGATATGTCCCAAGACCACAGACCAAGTTATACTCCAGAGTGCAATAGAGTGATGAAGTCAGGTGGTTTCATTGATGCCGAGGGGTATCTCAATGGGACTCTTTCCGTCTCACGTGCCCTGGGCGATTGGGAATTGAAAGTTCCACTTGGTTCTGGCTCTCCACTTATTGCTGACCCAGATGTTCAGGTGGTGACATTGACAGAGGACGATGAATTCTTGATCATTGGATGTGATGGGATTTGGGATGTAATGTCAAGTCAGAATGCAGTTAGTATCGTGCGGCGGGGATTAAGAAGGCACGATGATCCACAACAATGTGCCAAAGACCTAGTCAAGGAAGCATTACGCCTACACACTACAGATAACCTTACTGCGATTGTTATTTGCTTGTCCTCTGTTCAAAGCATTGCCGAATCATGTCCACCCCAAAGGCGAAGATTCAGAGCTTGCTCTCTTTCTGAAGAGGCCAGAAACAGATTGAAGAGCTTGCTAGAGGGGAACTGAATGTAAATACAATTTTCATGATTCAGAATCATTCGTTGTGTTCGGAGGCTGTTTTAGAGTTAGATAAAAGTGGCCATCAGTTTTGTAGGGATAGAAGAGGGTAATTGGTGGGGCATGGGGCGTTTAGATGTATTTAATTGGGGTGTTTCTCTGGGTTATGTGGGTGCATGTAGAGACAAATGTAGCTAGCTAATTTTGGCGGGAACCAGTGGGCATTGTTCCTACGTCTGTAAATAAAAGAAATGAATGATTTAGACTTATCAGCAATATTATGGGTGAAGGCGACCTCAAAATTAGTTCATATTTTCTTGCTACTTGCGTTCAATAGAGGTTTGTCGAGTTCATGTTTTAACCCATATATATATATATATTTCTACCCGTTTACTTTCAATCTTCGAACACAGGGCTCCAGATTCGAGAAAATAGTTCACATTAGGTGCGTTAGGTTATCGAGCTTAAAATGTTATTTCACTTATAAGATATTTCATTTAGAATAATTCAATGGAAACAAATGATTGAAAACAAAGTAGAAAAGATAAAAAATAAATCAAAACTTAACTTTTCAATTACCAAACTTAATCCAGTGGGTTAAAGTCTATCGGTTGCCCTCGTCCCATCCAGCAGTTGATGAGCTAAGGTGGGTAACCCCGTCCAAGTTGTAAACATTTTGAGTGTGTTTTTTGGCTGTTGGGGGAGACAGATTGTAAACATACGTGTCTCCCTCTTTGAAACACTGGGAAAAGGCTACTCTCTCATGCTTATGTAAGTCCAATTAAAAATAGTCTAACATTCCGATGAGCGTATAAGAGAGAAATATGAAAAAAACAACTGATCCTATGGAAAAGGAATAGAAAGATAGATGAAGATATAAAACTTAAGGATGTGAAAAGGTTGAAATGCCATCTTACGCATTTCCCTATCTTCATTATATGGATCCTACAAAAATTGCAAACAGATATATTTTTTGAACAATTTTGGAGACAGCTTTTAGTTCTTTTCTACTTTTTTGTGTAGTTTTGAGATACATATATACAGAAAAGATAATAATTATATAAAAATGAAAATTATATACAATAATATAATATATATTGAACTATTGCTTGTCAGAAAATAAACTAGCTAGCAGGAATTTTGTTGTAAGGCATAATTTGAAGAAACTTTTTTAACAAACACTAATTGTAGAAAAAAAAATGAATTAACATTTTTTATAAATTAAAATTAACTTATACACTTCAACTTATTTAAAAGCTTCTTATTTTTTAAACTTTTTCATTAATTAAGACACATAAATTGATTTTATTTTATTTTTAAAATTATTGATTAATTTTATTTTTTCCATCTTTGAAAAATTCATCCAAATAAAGGATTGCTCATTTTGTTGTAAGTTTCGGTTTGATTTCTGACATAGGTGTTTGTTGGGTTAAGCCTAAACCCCACTTTCCTCGGGTTCATGAAATATGCGCTTTCGGTGATTTCAACGTTTAAGCGGTCTTAGTCCTTATTGATGATGTTTTGTCGTTAAAATTGATCTTAATACTCTATATCATGTTTTGTAAATATCACACTTAAAAAGATGGAGAACGAGAACGTTAGTATGATTAAAAGGACCACTTTCTTTCTTCTTTATCTGTTCAAAAAGAAAAAAGAAATTATACGGATCAAAAAATTTAATTACTATTAATTGTTAAATTTCATTATGTATCCTTTATTAATTAGTTTCATATTTATTCTTAAATTACTCAAATAGTATATATATTTTAAATGAGTCGTTGAACTTCTACATAAATAAGAACAAATTCTTTTTTGGTTCTCTTATTAGATAAATAACAAAACTTGTTAATTATCGTAATGATTGAATTTTAATATCATAATATAAGACTGATTGAATTACCATGGAATAATGCTGGTTTAATTTTTTGGGGGTTGTGTTGTGTATACAGTATACACACTCTCAGGTTGCATCCAATGGGAAGACAACGGAGCATGTGAAGGCACTTGGTGTTGAAGGCAATCAATGGTGCTGAAGGACTAGTAAAGTTAATGGCTGAAAAGGAGACAGACAAAACATTTGGAGTGCAGTATATTTCAGTAACTGAGGACATAGCAAGTCTTTGTCCTTCAAATCCAACAACAATGAGGAGGCAGTGAAAGTGAAAGAACCCACAATTCCCTATTTTGATTAGTCCATCCACAATTGAAGAGCCGTTGCCACATTTTTCTTTGTTTCAATTTTGACAAAGAATTTTATGATGACTTGGATATGATACCAATCTTGTGTTAATAGGCACATTTAAGTGTATAAATACATAACATACTAGCTTTTTTTAGTTTGAACCAAGTATTTTCCACCCATTTCTTGAATCATAGAGATTATCAAAGCAAGCTTCATTTTTTTATACACACGACTGATAATCAAATCCAAGATGTTCAAGAAATTATCTACCAAATACATATTAGTTAATAGCTAGTTATTACCTTATGCATAATAAGTGGAATAATTTTGTTGCTTTGTTGTTAATTCATTTAACTGTTCGATGAAGCCATTTGAAAACTTCCTAGTAATCACTCGTCCATACTAATCGATCTTCACCTTTCGATCTTTATTTTACCATACTAGCAATTTGTAGCTGTATCACAGCTAAATGAAGTCTCTTAAAACTCAAGCTTTTTATAAACTCAGAACAAAGGTTAAATTTATATTTTTAAAGTGTTTTAACAATGTGGGATTTGTTCCTCTTAAAATGCCCTTTAAAAAAAAAAGAGTAAAATCTAATTTTGCATGTTCATGAATGTGTGACCTTCGAAGCTCACAACTTTTGGTGCCAATAATAAATTACTCCATTTTCAGTGGAGCCGTTACGGCAAATGCTCCTGATAATTTTGTCTCCAGTTAAAAGAAATGACATTTAAAAATATGAATTTGATACATAGTTTTATTATTTGTCCAAGTTATGTTATGCCCTATCTAATTACTATAAGTAAAATCCTACTAGCGGTTCCACTAGGATTGTGAAATCTACCTGCTTGACCCAAGAGAGTAATAAACAAGAAGTATAAAGGGAGAAACCAATCTACGGAAGCTCGGAATGTCACTGAGGAAAGTAGTGGAAGAGGCAATTCCATGATCAAAATAGATTATGAAACATGAATGTTAGATTGTGTTCGGATGAGACATTTTAAAATTTCTAAATAGTAATTTTAAAATACTACATAATTTTAACTAGAACTTATTTTTATGTGAAATAGAATAATATTTGCTAAGTACAGCGTTTGTAGTTGAAAACCTAAAAACACGAGATCATGATCAAAAGTGGCAAGCAATTTTTCTTCTATGGCAAAGCTTAAATATTGTAACCAATGGGACACATTTCATGTAAGGCGCCGAGGCGTTCATAAAATTAGTTATTGCTAAGAATCATGGCTTGACAGCGGAGATTGGACAGTCGAACCCTCTTAGAACAATTTCAATTGTTCTTGTGCTGTAAATTTTTTGCAATGAAATATCGTACTTGTCCACTTATCTATAAAAATTTAATGACTATAATTGTGAGGACTCTCGGAAGAGAAGCCCCTCCAAAAATAAGCGTATACTGTTTAATGTGACGAACACACGGTATTCTTTAGTAAAAGGCGAAAGAATAGTTCGCTTTGTGTTCAGCACACAGCTCCGTGACTTGAAAAGGTTTAGATAAAACATTTTATAGTAAGAATACTGCTTTCCTTTTGCTATGCTACTCAATGTGGGCTTTATATAGTTCTTTTCATGAGAATATTAGCTCATTGATTTTCACCCTTACCTGATTATTTGCAATCTCTTATGCACAGAATAATTAAACTTGAAGACCTCTTTTGAACAAGCCTCTGAGATATATTGCACTTACTCCATGGATGGGGTTTCCTTCACCCTCACCAATGGCTTCCTTATGCTATATTTCATATATGATTTCCTTGTTGATTTTTTAATAACATACTTCCTTCATTTTCCACTAGATGATATGGTGGTTGTTAGGGAGGATGGAAGCACAGACTTCACTATCAATGATGCTATAATTGCTGCACCAATTAAAACAACTACTAATAATCATTATCAATATGGTTTGTAAGCAAGTACCTTGTGTTAGTGTGGGTCGGTATGTCCCAACCTCATATACTTTACCTGTTAAACATTTTACAACCTGATCCACCCAACCATTTTATGAGGTGAATTGCATCAAAACCCGTCAATTCAAGGATTTGTCTTGAATTGATTGTTAAGGGGCAATTTATAGTGATTTGGCTAAGGATCAAAGAGATGAATGGTGATGAAAGGAACTAGTGAAGAACTTCAGGATCTGCAGAAAAGTTTGTTTGTGTTGAAGAGAGTCTCAAATAACACATTCCAATTTGACATTGCAAAGGACTTGGATTTTGTTTTTTGTTCCTAGAAGGCCTAGTTTTTTTACCTAAAATTAGTTTGGAAGAGTCTATAAACCATTTATACGAAACATCATATGACTTTTATATGCTGCTTTTAGCTTATTTTAATAAGTAATTGTTAACTTATAAGTTTGATTGTTAAATTTAAGACATAATTATTGTTTAAAAAGACTAATTAAATAATTGTTTAAATAAATAGTTATTTAAACACACTTTAATGGTCAATAACTACTGGTATTCATTATATGAATTATTACCTAATAGCATAGTTTCTATAATATTTAGGCCACCTTGTGCTCCATGTGAAATTTTGGATCTCGGAAGTAAGGGGTGATTTTTTGTTGTAAATTTTAAAGTTGGAATAACATAATGGTTAGCTCAGATCAATATGTTAGATGAAATTTTATACCTATTTGGAAGAAATTATAAACAAACAACTTAAAGAGTTTCATGAGTTATATTCAACTTATTTCAATAAACTTCTTGATATAGCTTTATCAAATAAGTTCTTTTCAATTTATTCTAATAAATTTCATCATTACATTTATAAGTCATTTAAATAAAAATATTGAATAAGTGCTTAAATAAGCAATTATTCAAATACACTGAACCATTGGATGAAACCATTTGAGTCAACAATTTCTAGTCCATATAAAAAATTGTCTTCATCTATCAATATTTATTTTATCATATTTTTGTGTGAGCGCTATAAAATTTAAGTCTCAAAACTTCTTAAGAAAATCAAGTGAGGTGTTAACACTTTCAGGGTATGTTTGGATACACGTATGCTATGCCATTGACGTTAACTTGAACCCAACACTTAATCTAATTTCACCTGTTCATGAATGAGGCTAGTGACACTCGATTGACACAACATTATTGCTCATTTTCTTATTTTGATACTCACGGCTTGGATGCCATTGATTGGCCCAACAATATTTGTTTTCTGGAGATTTCCTTGGCTTGAATGTTGTAGCATCCTGCGTCACCTCAGATGTTAATACATAGCGACTCGCACACTAATCCATCCGATTTGGAGGATATTTGTCACATCATATTAATATAATTGTTGCTAGTTTCTTGTATCATAATCGGAATCATTCTTTTCATTAAGTTTGCTTCTAGTGATTGATTAATAATGTTTTGGATCGTTAGATCACTTGGCACCAAATAAAAGATGGCAAGACTACTAGTGTCCAATAATGTTCTGTTCTCTCTCCCTCTCGTAAATTTTTAGTTAACATGCAGTTTTTAGTTTTTATTAATTTAACTTACTGGATTTGTTACAGCGTAAACCTTATTTTCATAGTAACAAACAGATGTTACTTTGGTATTTTTTGTAATTAATATATAACAAATTTTGTAACGAATCATAAAAATAAAATATGAACAAAGGTTTCTTTATAATAATTTCTTTCAGTCTTTGTATTACACTAGCAATAATCAAGGGACAAAATTATAAAATAAATTTGAAGAGTAGAGTGAAGATGCTTATATCTTTCATTAGAGAACAAAAATAATAATTTACTTATTAATAAATGAAATATGAATCCTTCCTAGTTGTTGAAAACATGCAACTCTTTTTATCATTTTATTGCAAAGAAACGAGCCGAATTACATGAGAGGAGCTGAAACCAATTAATTGCAAAGCTTGCAATGATAATCAAGATGATAATTTAACACCGAAATTCATGTAAGCCTGTACAACATATTATATTAAGCAATATAATTTGTGCCGATAATGGATATGATTCATAACTTGACACAAACTCAAACCAAATAGAGTTGAAAACATTTTACAATTGAGTTGTGAGGCCCTCTTTATGAAGACCCCTTCCAAAAATAATCGTATGCCGTTTAAAGTGACAAACACACGGTATTCTTTAGTAAAAGGCGAAAGAATAGTTCGCTATGTGTTTATCACACGGCTCCGTGATTAATCCGCATGCTAGCTCTTAAGTTTTATATTAAGAACACTGCTTTCCTTTTGCTATGTAATCAATGTGGGCTATCTATTGTTCTTTCCAGTTTCAAATGCGACCTTCATCTGATTTAATCCAAGAATCATAACGGTGCAACGTTCTTCCAACTCTCTGATTATTTGCAATCTCTTAAGCACAGAATAAAGAGAGGGTGAAGCTGGAAGAACTATTTGAGCAAACCTCTGAGAGATATTGCACTTCCTCCATGAATGGTTTCCTTAAGTTATATTTCATATATGATTTCGTTGTTTGTTTTTGCATAACATACTTCATCTTTCCACAAGATGACATGGTAGTTGTTTGTAAACAAGTACCTTGAGTTAGTGTTGGTTGGTTGGTTGGTTGTAAGTCCTAACCATCTAAAATGAGCATTTTACAATGTTAAGCATCAGGTACATTTAATTGCATCAAGACCCTTGGATTCAAGGATTTGTCTTGAGTTGACTCTTAATGGGAAAGTTACAGTGGATGGCTAAGGATAAAAATGGTTGATAACTTGATATGGAGATCAAAGGCACTGACAAGAAGTTCAAGATCTAAAGAAAAATTTGTTGTTGTTCAAGGGATTCTCAACTCTCAGATAACAAAAACTCTGACTGGATTATTACCTGATAACATAGGATTTTGTATACGGGCAGTAAGGTGATTTTTTGTTGTGAAAATTGAAGTCGAAATATCTTATTGTTACCTTAGACCAACATGCCATTGACTTTGCTCTTGTCTTGCCAAAGCTCCTTACAACTCTTAAATTTATTCCACTTGCCCATGAAGGAGGCTAGTGACCCTCGATTGCCACCACGTTATTACTCAGTTTCTGATTTTTATGCCTATAGCTTGAACGTTTTACCATCATGAGTTGCCTCAGATGTTATCAGTGACTGATCCATCCTTACTCCCAAAGAATAATATATGGATTTGAAGGATGTATGACTGTAATGACATCTAGTTTCTTGTGTCAAAATCATGCCTTTGATCAGGTTTGCCTCTTGACTTTTAGTACTTGAGTAAATGTCTTGACCGCAGGATCACTCTAAAGCAAACAGGGATGTCAAGACCACTAGTATGTGTCATTGTTTTCTTAGTTTTAATTATTTTAGTTAATAATTTGGTTTAATTTATTAGATTTATAAGAGTAAACATTATTTTCATATTCGAAAGACGCATGTGGTTACTTTGCCCTCGAAAGGTTTTTGTAATTGAAGTGTTACAAATTTCATCCATAAAACATGCAAAATATATTGAAGTTAGTATATGAATCGAGGTTTCATTATTATTATTTGACTCGAACAAATAAAAGTTCAAATTGATTACACTTGTAATTTATTAAGGGACTAGATCAATAGTTAATTTAAAGATAAGTTGATGGCCCTTATATCTTTTAGAGAACCGAAGTAAGAATTATTTTTTTAAATTGAATACTTTATAATTTAACTTATTGAATTTATAACAAGGTAAACCTTATTTTATTAGCAGGTACAAATACTGTTACTTTGATCCTTAAAAAAAATTGTAATTAATTTAAAACCTTAAAAAATGTTGGAATTATTATAAATTTCATAACCTATCTATTATGCAGAACATTGTCAAAATAGTATATGAATAACGGGGTCATTATACTCATTTTTTTGGGTTTACAATCAGACGAAGGACTAAATTGTTGGCAATTGCAATTATTAAGCGAGTAAATTAATAATAAAAATAATTAAAGGGATAATGTCATCTTTTAGAGAACAAAATAAGAATTTACTCAACTATATGAAACGTAATATTTTACTATCCACTTATGATTCCTTTTTAAGCCGTTACAATAATCAACTTCCTTTGTTATAAAATTACCATATATAGCAAAGACTAGTGCCAAATAACATGAGAGGAACTGATACAAATTATTTACAGACATAGTTTAGGTACACCAATGACAAATTTTTCAAAATATTAAATCCTACATGTATACATTAACAATATTAGAAGTCATGCTAGTTTTACTTGCACGTAATTTTGTTTACCTCTCCTATTAGACAATTAAGCACTCACAAAAATTTACAACTAAAATTGCATGGTCTACACATACGATTGGACCCTTTAAAAAATTATCGTATGCCGTTTGAAGGTGACGAATACACTGTATTCTTTAGTAAAAGGCGAAAGAATAGTTCGCTTTGCATTCATCACACGGCTCCGTACTCACCTGAGTGAAGTTCTAAGGTTTTTATACTATGAACTATAGTGTTCTTTCACTATTCTATTCCATGTGGGCTTATATAGCCATTTCTGAATATTGACCTGATGGATCCCGTGAAGCTGAGGCACCAAGAGCTTCCGATTGGGTGTTTTAACAATCTCTAATGCACGGAACAAAGGGAGGGTGAAGCTTAAACTAGCGTTCATACAAACCTGTAGGATATGCTACCACTGGGCTTCCCTTATGCTCTATTTCATATACGATTTCCTTGTTGGTTTTTGCATATACAATGAGTCGACCTCACCCACTATAGATGATGCCATGGTTGTTTCATCAATTAACAAAGCTACTAATGATGGTTATTACTATGGTTTATAAGTAGTTATAGTTGATTGGCTAAGTATTGAAGGGCTGATATGAAGATGATGGAAGCATTTGTGGCACCGATAAGACAATGAAGCTATAAAGAAATTTCCTTTAATAGAGCCTCAGATAACATAAGAAACCAGTTTGATATTCTCTGCAGAAAAGTTTGTCTTTTCCCGTACTGGTTAATGATGATTGGAGTTTCTTGTATGGATTATGACCCGACAACAAGCATAGCTTTGTGCTTAACCATTAACGAGACCAGCTTATGCTCACCACGCAATATAAAGTTATTTTGAAATGAACATTCAATCGGAAATAAGTTGTGGCTCATACAGATTAGTAAAAAATTCAGGTGAAGTTTGGAACTATGTAGTTTACGTCTCAGATTGAAGTTATAAGCTAAAACTATTTGATTAATCTGTGTGTAAGTTTATTACCCGCATAGTTTTGAGTTAGGATTGCTATTTTGAATGCCTAAATAATTTAAAACCTTTTAAGCTCAACTTAAGCTTTCTACTTGCATCGGAACGAGAAATTGACAAATTCAAAATGTACAATATTCTCTTATCTTGTAAAATTCATAATTTTTTTTTTTTGGGGGGGGGGGGTGTTTAAAAAATAGAAGTCTTATTTAGTACAAATGAGACTAATTTAGTATGAATCACTTGTTAATATTTCATTAGAGAACTATAAAATTAAAAAAGTGAAAACAAAACAAGAAATTTTGTGAAAAATAAGGATGACTATACTCTCAGTTTTCGTCACAATTAATTTTTGTACTACCAAGCATTTTTAATATTAAAAAATGCAATTTAGTCTCTATAAAACAAGTCAATGATAAAAGTTTCACATAATAAATAAATAAAATTTATATTAAAAGAATCACAGTAACTTTTAATTAACTAATGTTTTTTAGTTTAAAAGACTCAAAATTCAAACTTTATTAGAGATAAGACTTTTTATCTAATAGACCTAGTACTAATATTAATTATATATATATATGTAATATAATATAATAAGACTATATTTTTAATAATATATATAATTTAAATTTAATTTTTTGAAAAATAAAACATTTATCTCCTAAATAAGTGTCTATTAGTGGAGATATTTTTTATTAAAAGAAAAGGATAAAACAACACTTCATTTTAGTTTCTGAATTTATTTTGGTGTTAAACAAAATGATTTGATACCTTATCTTCTTCATACGAAGCAAAGAAGAGTAACAGGCAATGATGGCGTCTTTGGCTCATCAGTTAAGGTGGTCCTCACTGCCGTCGAAACCAATCCACAACCACCGAAGACGCAACACCGTCGTGTGTTCCATTGCCATTGAAAACGCTCAGAACAAAGAGAGAGCCAAACTCAAACAACTCTTCCAAGACGCCTATGAGAGATGTCGAACTTCTCCCGCCGAAGGTGTCTCCTTCACCTTCGAACAATTCTCCGCCGCTCTCGATAACTACGACTTCGACGCTGAAATTGGAACCAAGGCTCGTTCCCTCTTTTTTTTTCTCATGAAGTTACCAATTTGATCCTCATATTGCAATCTGTGTCTGGATTTCCCCTTTGGGTCGCTGTGATTTTGAGTTTTATTCTTTGTTTCGTAGAATTTCGGACTCGGTTTAACTGAAAAGGGCAAGGGGTGTCGTTGAATTGAAGTATTTGCTATGAGTGTGCGTGGATGAGGAGTGTTTAGAAGTTATAGAAATAACTTACGACTCTAAGCTTTTTTTTTGGCTAAGTAAGTAATCAAAATAAGTTATTTTCAGTGTCTCGTTGAATTGAAGTTGCTGCTATAAGGGTGTGCGCACACGCTTTGAGAGTAGCTTATGAAAATAACCTGACTCCTAAAATTTTCTTAGCTTAGTTCAATAATCATTTTGGTATAACTTATCAAAATAAGCTATTTTCTATTTATTCTAATAAGTTTTATGTTTAAATTTATAGCATAAGCCATCATTAAAAAGGACTAATTGAATAAGCACATTAAGCTGTGTATTCAAGCGCAACCTTTGTCTAGTTTGTCGGTGGCAATAGTTAATACTTAATTGTTTGTGTATGGGGAAAACAAAAAATAACTGCTTGAAGTTTTTGCCACAGATGGGGTTTTGGGATAGTTTGGTGATGATTTGATTGGTGGTGATGTTTCAGGTTAAGGGTACTGTTTTTGCCGCAGATGCGAGTGGAGCTTATGTTGACATTACTGCAAAGTCGACAGCGTACTTGCCTTTGCAAGAGGCAAGCATCTACAGAATTAAGAATGTGGAAGAAGCGGGCATAGTTCCTGGCTTGAAAGAGGAGTTTGTGATCATTGGTGTAAATGAATCGGATGATACATTGATATTGAGTTTGAGGTCTATACAATATGACCTTGCATGGGAACGCTGTCGACAACTTCAATCGGAAGATGCTGTTGTCAAGGGTAAGGTTGTTAATGCAAACAAAGGAGGTCTGGTGGCTGCAGTGGAAGGCCTTAAGGGGTTTGTTCCATTTTCACAGATATCAACGGTTAGTTCTTGACCTGTTTTGACATGAACTTGCATGCATCCGATTCAAACTTTCCATATGGCAGGAGTTCAACTAATTGTCAGTAAAATAAGCATAGTTGTATAAGGGCTTTTGGTGGGAATAAAAATCAGATGAGTGGGAGCTAATTCTTTGTTTGGCCAAAGAATTGCTCCAATAAAGCGTTCAACAATATGGAGAATGACAAAGCCATGATAAGTCTTTGACAAGTAGTGAGTTTTCCATATTGTTGTCAATATTGAAATTGAGTCATGCAACTTTATTTAAAGAACTTATATGTCTCAGCAAGTTCATGTAGATAGATAATTTTGGGTAATTAGTAAGTTTTTTTTTTTCTTCTTTTTTTCATGTTCATTTCTGTCTTGCGCATGTCCCCTTCTTAAAATTACAACTTCAGCCGCCAACCCAAACTCTATCCCTTTTGCCTATTTTCTTCTTAGAGAGCAACTGGAGAAGAGCTTCTTGAAAAGGAGATTCCTTTCAAGTTTGTGGAGGTGGATGAGGAACAGTCCAGACTTGTCCTCAGTCACCGTAAAGCTGTGGCTGAGAACCAAGGACAGCTAGGAATTGGATCAGTTGTTACTGGTTCTGTTCAAAGTATAAAACCTTATGGTGCCTTTGTTGACATTGGTGGTATCAGTGGCCTCCTTCATGTCAGTCAAATCAGTCACGATCGTATAACTGATATTGCAACTGTTCTTCAACCTGGTGATATTCTGAAGGTAAACCTATAATAAGCTATGTGGGCATTTGCTTGGATCCCAGGTGTCATGTGGACATAAAATCTTGCTTATCTTTGGTTAGGTGATGATCCTAAGTCACGATCGGGAGAGAGGACGAGTAAGTCTTTCCACAAAGAAATTGGAACCCACACCTGGAGACATGATTCGCAATCCAAAGCTTGTCTTTGAGAAGGTATGATTCAAAGAAACTATATCAAACCTTTTGCATGCTGCATATGTAAATTATGATTGTAGCATATCAGTGTCTTCATTAGTCATGGTTTATTTCCAGTTTTCCATGCCCTGCTTTTTATGCTATCTAGATTGATATGTTAGAAGAAGTCAAAGCAATGACTTCCTCTCCTTATGATTTGATGTTGTGTTTCTTTCCATCTCTTCCGTTTTATGATCAATCATCTATGTTAACCCTTTTCATTAGCATTATCATTTTTGAAAGAGAACACACACTTGTAATTCTAATTTGTTTTATAGGCTGAGGAGATGGCTCAGACATTCAGACAGAGAATCGCTCAAGCAGAAGCTATGGCTCGTGCTGATATGCTAAGGTTCCAGCCAGAGGTATTTATTTGTTAATTATTTTTTCAAAATTCTGAATTCAATGAAAATGAACAAGCAACAAGGGATTAAAGGTGACTAGAATACGAATAGCATAAAAAAAGGCCACCTCTTGCAGCTGCTGATGAAAAGTATTATAGCTTCCAAAATGACAAGATTTAAATGATTTTGATGGACCTTCCTTAGAGGATGACATACTAGAATTTATATACATTTCATTTAGGATGATCTTAGTTGGATAGAAGTGGTTTTGGTATTTTGGATTCCTGACTGACTAATTTTACTGATTTGACATATATTCCTGCATTTACAGTTTCATCTTTAATTTGAATAAATTATTTGTTCATTTGATGAACCTGTTTTACCCTAATCCTTTTGTTTACAGAGTGGATTATCTCTCAGCAGTGACGGGATCTTAGGACCACTTGCTTCAGATTTGCCTCCAGAGGGACTGGATCTGAGTGAGGTACCAACAGCTGAAGATTCATGATTGAGGCTTGTGAACACCTTGCTCTAAATATTGTTGTAGAGAGCTAAGCCAAATATTTTCTTTTGTTTGGATATATTTATCTTTCCGACAGCATAAAACAAATTCAATACTCTACCCATTTGACAAATTGCCCCCTCCTTCAATTTTGACTATATAATGGTTCTTTTCGGCCACTCATTATTGTAGTTAAGGTCAGGCAATTAGAATTCTTCATTTTCTGCCCAAATTATAGTTAGACCAGTTCAAAACCAGATTTATATATTTATGTCTTCGACAATATTAGGCCCGTTTGTTTTAAAGTAGTGTAGAACTGACTTTAAATCGTTGCATGTACCAAAACTAATCGTATAATCATAAATTTTTATTGGATATATTTTTTTATTTATTGAAATATGTAAGATTTTTATTGGATAACATCAGAATGACAATGCCAATATCATATTACCTTTTTTTTTGCAACAATTAAGCGTCATCCAAGCTATAAGCCATAATGTGAATACTTTGAAAGAAAAGGGTATGACGTATGTTAAAAAAATGGATACATGGCAGCCACGTTCATTTTGCAAAAGCAGAATCTTGATTAATTGCAGTTCTTACATTTCATTTCATTTCAGTGTGTATGCATCTACTCATTGAAATCAGGGTATTAAAGGAAGAGCAGTTGTGTCGTCATCAGATTTATCTAAATACCAGAAATACTAAATTCATCACTTATCACTGGTTTGCATCGAGGAACACGCGCATCACACACACATATATATATATAAATATATATAAACACACATTTTTTTCTAATGTGTAGCTACTGATACATAAAAGTAGGTTATATATAATAAATTGTCATTAAAAATTGTAGGATATTGTATTAAATATTATAATTTTTAATAAAAATTATTTTTTATTGTATGCCTTGGACACTTTTAAAAAAATTGGTATTAATATATGTTATATATTCAAAAATTTTAATGAAAATAAGAATATTTTAATTATATTTTTAAAATTTGCTGTTTATAAAATGAGATAAATAATCTAGATAATGATTAACTATAATATAATATATAAGATAAAAAAATATATATTTTATGTAAATTTGTTGAATGGGGATAAAAATTGTGCTTGTTACGGTACTCTTAAATTTGAAGATCAATTGAATACTCTCTTTAGATTAAACTAAGATATTAAAAAATATTTATGCCTTTTATAAAAATATCACTAACTCAATTACTAAAATCAACGGTTATGATTATTCTATATATACAAAAACATAAAATATTTTTTTCTTTTTCTAAAGCACCGTAAACAATTACTATAGTGAGTAAGGCATTTATAAATTTTTGTTAATTTAAAATTATTTATACTTTGTTTATATACACCAAATTAAATGTAATATATGTTTCAATAAATAAAACAAGTAGCTTGATCATATTTTTTATTTTTTATAAATTTAAGACACGATAGATAATTATAATACAATAATTGGATGAAAAAAAATTATAATACAAAGTTGTTTAGATATTTTAAAAATATAAAATCCTTTCTTTTAAAATTTATCTATAATACTAGCAATGCTAACTTTAACTTCAACCTTATTCCCTTCTATTTATCAAATTAGAGTACTCGAATTTGCAAGTGACTTGATTTTCATTGTACTCCTTTTAATAATGCATGTGTCATTTTAAACAAATTGTTTTTCAAAAAAAATCAAGTCTTGTTTTGAATCTATGCGGTTTGTTTTCCAATTATAAGTATACATCTGACCAGTGGCTAACTGAGTCTTCGGCAGTAAAGAGCAGATAACCAAAAAGGAAACAAAACAAAAATCCGTACAATTTCAGTTGTTATCCACATAGCCAGCAGATCTACAGGGAGGAAAAATTTTCAGCTGTAGCAAAACAGAAAAGGAGAATAAAAAGGAACTCTTTACTTCACCTATGTAAATCCTAAACGGGGTTGGGGATTAGGATCCCATCCTGGAGTCGAAAGAAAACTTGGGGGACATTCAGTTCTAATCCAAGGGCTTATTAATAGATAATGGAAGTGCACTATCAGAGTTGCAGGGAACAAATAATTAAAACTGCATGAAATAAGTGCAGTTAGTTTTCTAACTGTAGAAGATATAGCGATCCTGGGGTTTGCTAACTCTCTTGTTTGCTGTTCTTCTTGCCCTTTTTTTGCTTTTGTTTCAATTGAGTAAGGCCAGCTGCTGATATCTTTACATTACCAATAATTGAAGCAACTAGCTCAGGATCTGTGCAAGCTTTCATCAACTCCTTCTCCCGGTTTGTGGCTTCTGACATGTGGCTGAACAAGTTCATTGCAGTCTTTGCAGCTGCACAATAAATTGAGAAGAAAAAAATTATGGTGACATCTTGAAATTAAATATCATTATGCTGTGCATCTATTGCTGCATAAATCGTAAACTAGAGCATAGGTTGCCAGGGTCGGGGAAGAGAAAGCGAGCATCGTAGACTCCAAGCAAGAAATAATACCCATGCATTAAAAAACAGTATTATATCTTAAGGAGAAACATGGTAAAATTAAATAAAAATAAATAAAGAAAAGAACCTTTCCCTTTCTTCGCTGGTCCAGGAATTATCTTCACCCGGTATTTGTAAGACTGAATTGCATTGTATGGACCACAGACAGGAACAGCATATAAGAGAATGTCATTAGGAAGTGGATTCCCTGTCAAGTAATCCACGTCATTTAGCTTTTCTTTCTCTTCTTCTCCTATTTCATGGATATCATCTTCTTCCATTGCCACCCTATCTGCTTGGGAAGTGTCAATAGCACTCATGTTGGGATTTTCTTCAGCTTCACCAATTGCATGTCTATGCAACAGATCATCTGTTTGCTCCTTACAGTCACGAGATAAGTGACCTGCCTTTTTACACTTGTAACATATTTTTGGAGCTTCTGCAGGCCCTGTTACAATAAACATTAACATTATAATATCATAAACAATATAGCAAATTTAACGGCAATGATTGGCATGTAAATATGTTTTCTGTCTATTTTACAGCAAAGTTTAGATTTCACTAATCAGGTAACGGTTATGAGGTAGTGACACATTGAATTGCAAAACATGCCCGAGGGGGCAATGAACCAAGTTGTGTCACTACTCAGCTCTTTAAGCAGCTCAAAGAGTCTAGTACATGAAACTTGCTAAAGAATTTCCTAAAGCTTGTCCCATGGACACAGTCGACTTCTTTGATTCATAAACTGTCAATTTGATCAAGTCATATATATGAATAAAATAAAAAACATATTAACAAAGTTAATATATATTACTATAGAGAAAGTAATATATAGTATAATATGCATGTTCATGAACCTATTGAACAAAGTTTATGAGCCAGCTCACAGCTAAAATTAGCTCATTTATCTAAAATGATTCAAGCTATGCCAAGCAGAATAATTCACAAGCTTTATTCGAGCCAGGCCCAATCCAAACATATTGGTTCACAAGCTGAGACTGAGCTCGGCTTAGCTCATTGTCAGTAACACTGGTGATGAAACTTTTTATGAAAGGCTTACCACTGCTGGGTTTTTCCCCCTTGTCCAATGCTTCATTTCTAGATGATGTCTCTTCCTTCTTGATTGATTTTCCAGAAGACTAAAAATACACCCAAAAAACCAACTTTAGAGCTAAATAATCATGGACCTGGTGAAATCAGAAATATGCAAGAATTATGTGGAAGCAGTAATATATTCTTTGAGAATTTCCATTGTGTGATCTCTTAGGTACTTTCTTCTATTCTAACTTATTTTTAGGGAAATATTACAACATTAATTGAATTTAACCTTTATTGAATCATCTTAGAAGGTATGAAATAAGAATCCCAGGCACATCAGAAGTTCATATTAGAAACAAAAACACATGCATGTATTGCGCTTCTATAAAACATGTGAATTATTCTGTGGACAGAAATGAAAGGACATTTGTAAGCTAAAGAACTCACAGCCAACAATGCCATTCGGATGCTCCTTTCTTCCTCATCTTGGTCAGCATATTTTTCCTTTATCTTCTTAAGTTTGCTCCTCTGTCCACGGCTGATTTTTTGACCTCCACCTTTCTTCAAATTTTGAACTTCTTTTGCAGCTAGATTAGCAGAAATATCTTTCAGTTTTGATTCATCCTTTCCATGTTCAACATTTGAATCTGCTTCTTCATGTTTCTGTTCTTTTTTAAACTTTCTTCTCTCAGCTTTTGACACATAAGGTTTATCCCTTACTGCAGCTTTGCTCTGTTCAAATAGGTGCTCACTGCCTAAATCATTTTGCGAATTCTCAACTTCAAAATTTTTACTTGATTTAGCAACAGATCCAAGTCCTAAAGCTCGATCAATAAGTTCCTCAAGTTGAGGGGTAACAGATGCTAAGCCAGTTCCACCAATGTCAGATAATTTCTCCCTATCAACCATGTTCATAATACTTGTCTCTTTCACAGGAAAATCCTGTGAAACTGCAGTTTTGTCATTGATAGTAGTAGCCAAACTAGTTTGCAATGAGTCTGCAGCAAAGTCTTCTGATAAAGGTTTCTGTGAATCTGCGGATAAATTACCATTCCTTTCTGGGTCTATTCTTTCCGAGTCTGCAGCAGAATTTACATCAGTGACATCCTTCTCAGACTCTGAATCAGATTTTTCTTCGAGAGGACCAGTTTCTTCATAATCATCTATTGCTTCCTCCTCTCCTCTTACTCTCCTTTCATTTAAATGTGATCCCAAGGAACTCTCATCCAAGCAAAATAGTAGGCCAAAACCCATGATAAGAGGATGTGGTGGAAGAAAGTTTTTCTTTCCCCGGATCATGAAACTCCCTACTGTCAGATATTCACCTGTGGGAGCAGTTTTACTAACCTGATGAGGATAAACCCACCAGGCACTAGTAACAATTTTTGAATCCCATGCCTGGCTATGGCAGACCTACATTCCAAAACGATATGGAGGTGGTAATTAACATTTGATTTAGCTCACAAACATGAAGTGAACCAAAAAAGTAATTTTAGATAACATTATGGAAAGGTGTTAAAACTTCAACATACTGTGAAACATCCTGCTTGGTTTAGGGTCAGTGGTGGAACTGGTTGCGCAGGCTTGTGATTCTTGATAACTGTACTAGAAGCTCCATGCAGATCAGCATGTACATAGCTATTGCATAAACGAATCAACAGTATGAGAGATCAGATATTGTACCAAACCAAATTTCAAAACAGAAAAGGTTTACACATTTTAAGGGAGTGTCTAATCATTTTTATTTCTGATTGGGGATTGCAGATGTTTCATGCACTTCAAATTGCAGCTTAGTGTATATATATATATATATATATATAGTTCATTTATTAGATATCACATGGTAAAAATAATTTGAATTACG